TTTGTTTTGTTTTGTTTTGTTTTGTTTTTCCAGATTTCCCCAATGCAATACATCATTTGAATTTTTTACTGCAGTGTCTATGGTCATTGATTGTAGGTCTAAGTAATATAAAATCCTTGACAACTTCAATCTTTCCTGTTTATCATGTTGTTTATTGGTCTGGTTGTGAGGATTTTTATTTTATTTTATTTTTGTTGAGGTATAATCCATACTGAAAGCTGTAGTCTTTTGACCTTCATCAGTAAATGCTTCAAGTCCTGTTTGCTTTCAGCAAGCAATGTTGAGTCATCTGCATATGGCAGACTGTTAATGAGAATTCTTCCAATCCTGACATCATGTTCTTCATATAGCCCAGTGTGATAGTTGGGGTTGTGTGTTGACTTGGCTGGACCACAATTCTCAGTGGTTTAAGCAGTAGTGATGTGGTTTTCCCATGATGAGATCAGATGTATATGCTTTGAGCAGCCAATGCATTGAACCACTGAAAGGGAGTTTCCCTAGGGGTGTGACCTGCTTCATACACACACACACACACACACACACACACACACACACATCCTGAGAAAATGAGAGAACCTTCTGTGTATCTGGATCCTTTTGTGCTGCCTACAAGTGTTGTGAGCAAACAATCCACCATTCTTGGATTCATCATCCACCGGAGTCAACAGCCAGTATACTGCCTGCCAACCTTGAGCTCATCAGCCCCTGCAGCTGTGTAAGTCAGGAAAAGCCTCCAGTTTTGACGTTTGATCCAGGAACTTGGGACTTGTCAGCTTCTGTAACTGTGTGTGTCATTTTCCTAAGAGAAATTTCTGTCTATTTATCTATATACAAGCTTTGCTGGTTTTGCTTCTCTAGAGAACCCAGCCTAACACATTTGGTACTGGAAGTCATTCTAGAGACAAAATCATAAAGATATATTTCCTAAATTGGTTTTCACTGATTCAGTTTTGGCTCTCCAATTTGATTAATTGTAAAGGCACTGGTGACTCTGTCTTCATTAGTAGAGGGGGCCCTGCTAATCCGTGGTGTGAGGTGGCATTAATACACAAAATAGCACCACCCATTGATCAAATATTTTTGAGAAGTGAGGCTCTGGCTGATCGCATATTTGATACTTTTCTGCACTTTCGTCAGCATGAGGAATATAAGAAAACAGGTTGGTTGGTCCTCCTTATGCTAGACAAAGTGGCAAAAGAGTGAGGTGAGTTCAGGGCTGCTGAGTCACAGATCAAGTGCTGCATAAAAGACCTCAATGTTTCCAGTTATGCCCTGAAAGAAAGCCTTATTTCTTCCAGTAACAGAGCTGATACTGCTGAAAACCAAACCCAGAGTCTGTCTTATCATAAGGGTGGCTGAATTACACCACCAAATGAATTGGCAATCCAGAATGGTGTCTGAAGTTAAAGTGAGGGCACTGATTGGGAGGAAATGGGATTCTGAAACCTGGGATGGGGACATATGGGCAGTCAGGAAGATGAGGTTATGGAACCTGTAAATTCTGTTGAATCCCTCCTGCCAACAGCACCATCCCTCCCATCTGAAGGGATTACTATATAACCATTATCCCTTCTACCTCCATTTGATGGGATTAACCCAACTGTTCCTGTTGGGTCATTGCCTGAGGTAGATGCCATGGAAGATTTTTCTGAACTTTCTCAGGAACGGTCCCAACCACCTATTGTTATTGTTAGACCTGTAACTAAACTTAAGTCCAAAGGAGCCCCAAAAGGTGAAATATGAGGTAAGTTGCATGAGCAAGTGGTCCAAATGCCTATGGTTTCCACTCCAGACACATTACCTTCCCTCCCTGAGTCTGCACCTATGGCCTCATGGGGAGTTCCTTATAATTAGCTGGCCGAGGAAGAGAAAACTCGTGCCTGGTTTATAGATGATTCTGCATGATATGCAGGCACCACTCAGAAGTGGACAGCAGTGGCCCTGCAGCCCCTTTCTGGGACTTCCCTGAAGGACAGTGGTTAAAGGCAATCCTCCCAATGGGCAGAACTTCGAGCTGTGCATCGGGCTGTTCACTGTGCATGGAACAAGAAATGGCCAGATGTATGATTGTATACAATTCATGGGCTATTGCCAACAGCTTGGCTGAATGGTCTGGGACTTGGAAGGAGCATTATTGGAAAATTGGTGACAAGTATGTATGGAGAAGAGGTATGTGGATAGAGCTCTCTGAAGGGGCCAAAGGAGTAAAGATATTTCTCATGTGAATGCCCACCAAAAAGTAACCTTGCAGAGGAGGACTTTAACAATCAAGTGGAGAGGATGACAGATTGTGTGGAAACCAGTCATCCTTTTCCCCCAGCTACTCCTGTCATTGCTCAATGGACTCATGAACAAAGTGGCCATGGTGGCAGGGATGGAGGTTATGCATGGGCCCAGCAACATGAACTTCCACTTATGAAGGCTGAATGCCCAATCTGCCAGCAGCAGAGTCCAACACTGACTCCACGACATGGAACCATGCCTCAGGGTCATCAGCTTGCAAGCTGGTGGCAAGTTGATTGCACTGGACCATTTCCATCATGGAAAGGACAGCATTTTGTTCTTATTGAACAGATACTTGTTCTGGATATGGAGTCACTTTCCCTGCACACAATGCTTCCACCAAAACTACCATTTGTGGACTTATAGAATGCTTTATCTACAGTCATGGTATCCCACACAGCATTGCTTCAGATCAAGGGACTCACTTCACAGCAAATGAAGTGTAGCAATGGTCCTATGCTCACGGAATTCACTGGTCTTACCATGTTCTCCATCATCCTGAAGCAGCTGGCTTGACAGAATGATGGAATGGCCTGCTAAAAACACAATTACGGTGCCAGCTAGGTAGCAATACCTTGAAGGATTGGGGCAATGTTCTCCAAGAGGCTGTACATGCTCTAAATCACCATCAAATATATGGTGCTGTTTCTCCAATAGCTAGGATTCATAGGTCCAGGAACCAAGCGGTGGAAACAGGAGTGGTACAACTATTAGCCCTAGGGACCCACTCAAAAAATGTTTGCTTCCTGTCCTTGTGACCCTATGCTCTGCTGGTCTGGAGATCTTAGCCCCAAAGGAAGGAACACTCCCACCTAGAGACACAATACTGATTGCACTGAACTGGAAGTTAAGAATGCCACCTGGCCATTTTGGCTTTCTCATGCCTCTGGATCAACAGACAAAGAAGGGAGTTACTGTACTGTCTGATGTGATAGATTCTGATTACTGAGGGGAAATTGGATTGATATTACATAATGGAAATAAAGAATAGTATGCCTGGAATGCAGGCAATTCTTTAGGACATCTCTTAGTACTACCATGCCCTGTGACTAAATTCAACGGAAAACTATAGTAACCCAATTCTAATATGACTACTAATGGCCCAGACCTTTCAGGAATGAAGGTTTGGGTCACCCCACCAGGCAAAGAACCACAACTAGGTGAGGTGCTTGCTGAGGGCAGGAGAAATACTGAATGGGTTGTGGAAGAAGGTAGTTCTGAATATCAGCTATGATCACATGGCCAGTTGCAGAAATGAGGACTGTGATTGTTATATTTCTTCATTGTACATGCGCATCAAATTTTTTTTTTTTCAGTTATGAACTATGAAATGTAAACAGGGTTAATGTGTTTTTGGTATTGTATCATGTTAGGCACAAATGTGACTTTATAATTATCCTTATTTAGAGATTTTATGTGGTTAAGGAGATGTGTACAACTGCCAAGTTGAGAAGGGGTGGACTGTGATAGTTGGGGTTGTGTGTTGCCTTGGCTAGACCACAATTCTCAGTGGTTTAAACACTTGTGATGTGGTTATTCCCACGATGAGTTCAGACGTGTATGCTTTGAGCAGCCAATCCATTGAAAGGGAGTTTCCCTAGGGGTATGGTCTGCTTCCAATATATATATATATATATATATATATA